TAGCAAAAACATGGCTTGTGCGTGCGTGCGAGCGTCTGTGTGCGTGCGTGCGTACATGTTCTACAACACAGTCAACACTACATCAGCTCTTTATGGATTTTATTTGTGATGACTCTGAAAGCCTTTCATCCCCCCTTCTCTCGCGTTTTGACCTTTTTCTCTCCCTTTCTGCGCACGGCTTTCTCTTCCTTTGATATTTGCACCGATTTGGTAAGCTACCGACAGGCAGGGATGTGGAGACGGTCTATAGATTTAGCCTCTATCAGTTGTCCGCTAAGATTCTCATATTCTCGACCGAAAGTTTTGTCTCGGGGATTCGTTGTTCGTGTTCGTGGTGTCATTCTTTTCTTATTGGCAGCGCCTTCTTCGTGCTGGGTGCGTGTAAGGACTGTCTGGGTCAGTCTGGTGGATTTAGCCAGCCTAGCATTGAAAATACTGCAGCAGTAATTGCAATGAAGTTGGTAGTCTACGGAATGAGTCTGAAAGTTTTATACGTTAGTGGAATGAAGCGGTACAGTAATGTGCGAGTATTTCAGGCGTGCATGGGGTGGGGTGATGGGTCGCTGCTAGAAACACATAATAAATGGTTATAACCATGTTATAACCACGGCGATTATAATGATAAAACGGCACAACACTGCATACGCAAAAGCCATGGGATTTTAGTCTTGTAATGTCGTAACCATTCACGATGTTTCTGGTAACCCCCCCCACCCTCTCTCCAGCTATTGATATATCGGCTATTCAGTATTGATACCAGCAACGTTTGTTGAATGGCTTATGAGCCGGACCGCGTGTATGATGAAGCTAACTGCATACGTGAACACACGCGCGCAAAAACGTTGTTTTTTTGCTAGATACTCGCTGAAGCCCAGGAGGGCGCCGTGCAAAAATGTTATGTCGGTTTTACGCGACACATACGGTGGGTCAAGGTACGGGGGCAGCGGGTGTGCGCACAAAGCCGTCCCTTGAGGGTAGGGGTATGAGGAACGCTGTTAGCGCCCTCAAGCGGAGTACCGCCGCGCATTTTAGTGCTTCGGGCGGCGATTTATGACCTTTAGCAAGCATTGAATTTGGAAAACAACAAGTCAAATATAGGTTTGGAATGCTCATGCATGTTACGTGGAGAGACGAAATCGCTATCTGATATAAATATATATATGATTGATTTCGTACTGCTATACGTCGGATAGAGCCAGTGTTGGCGTGTGTGCTTAGTTATCATGAGGCAGCTTGGAGGTTGTGAAGGTTGCTTTCGGAGTGTGGGTCACAGGTGCGTGATAATATGTCTTTTTGTTGGAATTTTATTGTATTTGGCATTCATTCAATGTAAAGCTGATTCGCATGTACCAACATGCGCGTGACTAGTGTATGTTATGTAACAATACACTCATCAGTGTCTGTTAATTTTAAAACCCTTCTTACGTGTTAGTAATACTAGCACTAGATGAGACAGGTGTGCGAAAATCGATATAGAAAAACACACTCTAGCATCATAGCTGCTATATTTAAACAATGGTCTCGGGTAGTACAAAAGAAACGACAGCATATAGAAAGCTTATAACAACCTCAAAAGGCGCGTCTTTGGCAAATACACTTTGGCACACACTAAAAAAACATGAAACAGGTAGTAGCAGTCAGTTATAGCAACAAATCTTATGCTTTGTAACGGCACACGCATAGTACCAGCAAGTCGTCAGATAGGCACGCACCACGCACACACACACGCACACACACGTCACACACACGTCACACGTCGTTATATCTATGCACTAATTCCGCAAGTAGTGTGTCGTGAAAACGTATATACACCGCGATATAACAACATCCGGAGCACAGACGCCCGGGTCGTAACGACGTGCAGAAATTGCAGCACCAATGTAAGTAATAGTATAGCATCAAACGAACGTATACTTACCGAGTTCCCCACAACACCGATACATCTGCATACAGATAAAACTAACATTACCGCGGTGTACATACTATTACCAGTCGTCGGCAATTCAAACAACTGCAAAAGCCACCATGCTACGTGCCCGCTCTGCACTTCTATCGCCTAATTTCGTTTGTGAGATATTAATACAAAGTCGGTTTGGACTCGTATGGCAATTTGCGCGGCATTCTGACTAAAGCTCTAACGCAGAGAGTTTAAACTCGAGCATTTCACGCGCAAAATCGAAAACCATCGATGCGACAAAAAGCACCTGGTAGATAGCACCTGGTATTAGTGAGAAGGTCAAAGCATGTACGTACAAAGCATGCACCACGATGGCTGCACATTGCCAGTACAGCGAATTGGCACGTAAGTATATTGCTGAAATATTCCTCCAAATTTAGCCATCACGAAACCACAAAACGGGACTCCCCTCGAGAGCGACTGCTTTTCGCTCCCTAGCAGGTCCCGGAGCGACTGCCTTGTTTAGAAATTGATACGTGCCCACGTAACAAGACAATCCCCATGGCTTACAAAATGTTCCGCGCAACACTCTGCTATTGCGTCAGGAACGACTTATATTAACATCGACTTGGAAATTCAGCACAATTCGGTTCTCCCAACGTCCATAAAACAGAATCAAATTTTCTGTTCCGTAAAAAAATAAAAAAATTCATACAAAAAGTACAAGTCCTACAGGACACGCAAAGACATGGCTTCATACAACGCAATATGCCACGTATACAGCCATTATTATGTCCTGTTCTTTGGATTAAAATCTTGGCACACGATTATAAGAGACAACGCAAATACTAAATATTTTAAGGCACGTGTCTTGGCCCAAAAAATCTCGTCCTGTTTATGGCATCACCAATGCAGAGAGAGCTGCATGCAGGGAGGAAGAACGGGAAAGCATTACCTGCAGGGGTTCACACCATTGCGCCGTGGATGAGCGTAAATCAATAATAACATCAAAGAAAACTCCCCTGTTCCAGGGGCACGAAAATGGTGAATTTAAACGAAAATGCACCAGGCTCAACACTGGCACAACTGATAAAACTTGTAAAGCAGGAATGCTTACGAAACATGTATAATATCAACACAGTCCCTACGACTTTTGTATTATGGGATTCAACGCACTCAAATAACAGATGTGGTACAAGTTCACCAGTCCCCCATTGGCAGCTACGTGATCACTATTACGCTCTCATTGACGGATCAAAATAGAAGCCAGCATTGCTTCTATATATCTCATAAGGAAGAAGGTAAGGGGTAAGGAACAGTTAGTGTTCATTGCGAAATGAACAAATTAAAATCGGGTACCTGTACGGGCACTGAGAAGTAGGGGAGGTTGTGCAAAAGAGTGGGGGTAATATTCAGTATGGGGGGGGGGGTTATAACTTATAACGCAGAGATAGGGATACTTTGGCAAAAATATATCGCGAGTCAAGTAAAATCTACGCAACGCCAGACAGGGATCGAGGCACGCCACGTCTCAATCAAACATAATCTCTAATACTGGTCACAATAAAAATCGGTCCCAGACAGTATCACAAACTTTAAGAAAATGAAATTCGTAAGTTTACAAGCAAAATGTACACAACCAGTAAAACGTTTCGCTCGCTACCTTAAACACACACGCGCGCACGCGCGCACTACTAATATAAAAACAAATTCATAAATGGAATATAATATTTCTATATGCTAATATTAAACGTCGTTAAAAGTATCCATATACATTTCGCGCTTATAACAGCACCTACGTTATATACAATAAGGAATCTACAGTTACTTAGTCCGTATCAAGCCACGTCTTACTTACCCCACACCACGGTGATCTCCACGCGTTTACACTGCCGAGTATTTTACCAAAAACCATCGAAATCACCGGGATTTAAAAAAAAAGAAGAAATATTCAAACAACCGCAACACGACTAGAACAGTCGCACGTCGCCCAAAGCCCGGCGCACATTGCCGAACATTTTGCTCAAAAACATTATCGTAGCAATGTTCCATGAAATGTTCGGCAATGTGCGGTGAAAAAAGTCGCCGAACATTTGTTCCGAACAATGTTTCTGAAGATCGGAAATGTTTGATATCTCGAACATTGTTCGTCGAATGTTCGTCAATGTGCGCTGAATGTCGAACAATTCTAAGAACATTTGTAAAGTAGTAACCAATAGCAGCACGATATGTGGTCACATGATTTTTGTGCCCAATCATGCGCCGATCACGTGACTCTTTACAACACAGCTACTAGACGGCGCCACGAGACAATCATGCGCCGATCACGTGACTCTTTACAACACAGCTACTAGACGGCGCCACGAGGTTGTTCGCTGCAAAATGTTCGGCAATGTGCGCTCAGCAATTGTCCACCCGCACATTGCCAGACAAAAACATTTGTTCGGGAAAATGTTCGGCAATGTGCGCCAGGCTTTAAGGATCACCGGACCGACTGCCAGCGATGTTCAAGGTCACGAATGTGGCTTTACACGTGGTGGAAACATAACTGAAATGCTCCACATGTTCTAACGCTTGTCAGTTTTGCGCTTGAGAAACGAACAATATTAGAAACTACCTGTTGATGCTTGAACGCACCCTGTCACTATTCAACTAAATTTAGAGTCAATAAATACAAGTAATAATCAATAGAATATTATATTAGTAGCGTTTTCACCACAAAGGGCGCCGTTTTAAAAGCTGCATTTCTGTCTAACTTCTGACCAAAAAGTTGTGATGCTGCCTTTCTAGTAGCTAAGAGTCAACTGCTGCCCATTCCATGTGAAATTGTTGCTGCCCATAGAAATTATTATCCTAATCATTATTATTATTATTATTATTATTATATTAACCAATAAATCCTGTCACCTGTTGGAGCTGCAAGAAAATTAATTAATTAATGTGAGTTGCACTTACTATCACTAGAACCTTAACAGAGTACCAACACGTGAAGGTATTGAAATATTGGTGAAATAATCTAGTTTAGATAAATTAGTAACAAGGAAATTGTATGTCCAAAAAAATACATACCCTCGGCAATATCGATTAGAAATTTCAGAAAATGTATAGTAGCACAAATATATCTACTCGTACTACAGAACAGATATGTTCATGATAGAAGTCACAAACACCAAAATGCAAAATAGCTTGCTACACAATGTGATATCAAGTTTTCCAACAGGGTGGCTCTTTTTGCAACCTGGCAACATGCTTTCATTAAAAACCCATTCTATCTACGCACACGACCACATGGTAAAATTTCCTGATGGAATATCAAATTGCAAGACTGCGTTATTTTGATTGCACTTCTCAATTTTGGCTTCTCATTTTAAAATGAACATCAACATGAACAGTTGAGCTAAAATTGCACTACAATTGTGTATAATTATGTATGAATTGTATTAAAGGATCTTGCGTTAACAATTGGTGTATAATATAAGGCATATCACCCATAACAACAACTATTGTATAAGGCATCAACTCAGAGAATGCCTATAACAATATTAGTACTGCCACTGCCCAGCAGATAGCGCTGACGTCACGCATACACAGCGATATGTCTTCCCACTAAAAAATTTACCATGCTTTGCATATAACTGCCTCTTAAATGCATAAAACATGATACGTGACGGGTTTTTCCCAGTCACGTCTCCCCAACGGACAACTGTAGGAAATATGGTCCTTTTTCATTCGCCTCTAATTGAACACAGAACTCTCTCTCCAACACGGAACAGTGTTCCGCACCGTCGTCAAACAAGTGACAGTACCTTGCTCGAACACTTGCGATATCACCAGGAAGTAATTCTCCTAGACGCTTCTCCGCACGTAAAGAAATATGTTCCCCTGTAGCGTGCTGGTGGCCCAGTACCTCCGTGAATGCCTGCTCCTCAAATTCACAATCGTACCCGGCTTACGCAACAGAGGCAAACGCGGAGGGGCTGTCCAATCCCGTCGCCGTCGCCGTCTCCTCTCTCTCTCTCTCTCTCGTTTCCGCAGCAGGCGTCTGTTTACGTGGTGCTGTCGGCAGCGTACAGCATCGACAAATGCCCGCGGCAGCGCTCAAAGGCATTCTTCTCCAGAACGTGCCGCCCCAGGTCGACGGCGTTGCGCAAGTAGTACACGTCAACGTCCGCGTTGTTGCTGTTGTTTCTGTTAAACCCTGCGTGATGAGAGAAAAAAGCCGACGCTGGTTAAAAAGAGAAAGCGCAAACAAAGATGCGCCAACGGAAATGCGCGTCGTCGACTGACGCTGCGCGCGACTGTGAGATACATCACTGACAGCATTCATCTTAATTTTCATTCAGCGAGTCTGGCATGCACGTCAGCACCACGTAGATGTTTATTTACACAAAAATCTCGCGTAATACACGCGCCACGAATATTGGCGCCGTATTATAGCTCTTGCCCGTTTTAAAACTCGGCAGTTTTGATAGCATTCATTGGCTGGCGCTTCATAATTTATATCCTCAACTTTTACGCACACAGTGACAGGCGAGAGAGATCGGATTTGTGTCGATGGATATTCCTACCTAATACAATATGCCTACGTAGACTGCATCGTCAGAACGGGGCAGGCAGGGAACTGGTAGTGAACTCATTCACTTCCACATAAAGCTCAATGCACGGATCAGATACCCTATAGTTTACATGATATCCCCAAGACTTACTACTACGGCCCCAATTTCGTACAGAATACACATAACATGGATGTAATTTTGGGGTGCTCGGGTTTAGGCACCCACCCAATGACACCCTACACTGCTACACCGTTCACATTAACTACTCTGCAAATTTAATACGATCGAATCAAAATCAGAAGTATGCCCAGGCAGGACACGACGACGAAGACGCGAAGATTAGTTAACAGAAAAAATTTCATTCCTAAATTCCGACGAATTAAAATCAGAAGTGCAGCTTGTTCAACGCGATGACACGAGTAGTTAATCTAAAAAATTTAATTCCGACGAATCGCAATCAGAAGTAGGCACGGCACGATACCACACCCATGAAAGTACACCGAAAAAATTAAATTCCGACGAAATTGAAATCGAAAGTACGCGGGGCACGACCCCACACAGGTCGTCAACCAAAAAAAAAATAAAAAATTTATTAAAATTAAATTCCGACGAATCGCAATCAGAAGTAGGTGCGGCAGGATACCACACCCATGAAAGTACACCGAAAAAATTTCATTCCGACGAAATCGAAAATAGACGCGCGATGCAGATAGATGCTCACCTGCAGTGTCGAACGGCAGGGAGGCGAGTGATTCCTGCAGCGGGGGCAGCGTGAGGGTCTGCGGCACGGCGGCGGCAGCGGGAGCGTCCCCGCAGCTGTCCGACGACGGCTGGAAGGTCTCCGGCAACGACGACGCTCGCCCGTATCTCCGGAACATCACGCTGCGGCTGGCTGCAAGCGCGCATAAACAACAGCACCGTCAGGCGAAAATCGTGGAAAACACGGCCAGTTCTTTGTTGCCGTTGCGAACTATAAATAAATTAGCCCGAAAACCGACGCGACTCGATGGGAGGAACACGAGAAGGCAGCTGCCGTCGAGGCATAAAGTTGCGCGTACACGGCAAGGGCATTCGTTCTCGTGAACATAACGTAAAAGCGAGCGACCCAGCGCTTGTTGTTATGGTCGGGGGGGGGGGGTTACTCCTAGGACACGCCGCGACGATGCCTGCTCCCCTTCCTAAAACCGTTTCCGCGATTTCTTTCGCGAAAATATTTTCGAAATTTCCCGTTGTTTTTCTAAAAAGATCTTGTTCAAGTCGTTTGCTTCCCTTTCCTCGATTCTCTCAATGCACAATACCCCTCCCTCGACTACACACCTTACCCCAACAGCACACCCGAACGCCGTCAAAACCGACGCTGCGCTAAATGACCGACCCACGTTCCCACTCGCACCGTGCGCGTATATAATTACCCTGTAGTGTGGGGAGACTGCAGGCTGCGGGCGTGGACACCGACTGGTAGCCCATGTAGCGATGCGCCATGCGTCGGTAGCTGAGGTGCGGCGAGCCGTATCTCTCATCGATCGGAGGGCTTCCCTGCATGCTCACCGGCGACGGAATCGCCGACGTGTTGTTCTGACTAGAGTGCGCGCTCGAGAACTGACCTGCGCACAGCAAACAGTTGATTCGATTTAATGATAAAATATAAGATCAATAATTTATTCAGTAATATAATATAAATAATGATTTTTTTCAGGTTAATTATAGGAATTACCCCGGTTACGCGCAGTTGGCAAGACGGTGATGACAATTATTACAGTAGAGAAATGCGTTGAGTTAGGGTGACAAATGATATAAATTGTACTATTTATGTTCTTTATTAATGTGAGCAACAGAAGATCAAACGAGAGAACCCATACAGACTACATTCCATGTATGCGGCTGATGTGAATTCTTGGTAGAGATTCATAACATTAAGAACATCACTAGCCACTAGGTCACCTATATATGTATGTCAGCATAAGCAGCACGTTAACAAAGTTATAACACCCGTTTCAAATTAGCGTGGCTGGCAAGTAAACTTGTTTGCTACGTGACTGAGTGCGCTCTTACGAAACCTTACCAAGCTGTGAAACAACAGCAAGCTTGAGTTTCAGCAGCACACGTTCAACGTGTCATTGTTACTATTGACGCGCACGTACGTTCCCTGGTGACGGATGCGCGTCGGGAGGCGGGGCTCGAGCTTCAGAGAGGCTTAATTACCTTGGTAGATGTCGGGTCCGATGCCGCTATCGCTCTGAGGGGGAGAGCTCTCACACGACGCCGTCTGTGAGGACTGCAGGTGCTGGATGGACAAGCACTCATTCAGCAGATTCAAATCCAGAGGATCCAAGTCGCTTCTCATCTGCACAATTGATGAATTCTCATTCAGTCGCACATCTCATTAGTGTCAGTGTCAACTCGCGCACAATACCTTCAGATTTGTGGTCTACACACTAAAAGACTTAAAGACAGCAGAGGAAAGCGAATAGAGCAGTTTGTGAGCAAGACGTACATCGTTGTTCGAGAGGCGCACCGATGAAAGAGATCATATTCGGTATAATTGGGACGGCATTTCTCTGGAACAGTACGGCACCATCTTGATGCCATCAAGAAATATCGAGCAGCGTTTTTTCGTTCATAAGAAGCTCGGTTCTCACATGATTTACTTGTTTACTTGACTTGACTATACTTCATAGGTATCTGTCTGTATGTCCGCCTGCCTGCCTGCCCGACTGCCCGACCGCCCACCCACCCGCCCGCCTACTTATCCATATTCTATCTATCCATTTATATATCCATCCATCCATATAGTCAATTCACCTCTCTTTCTGTCCATCCACTCACAAAAATAGAAAACTCGTTCCGTCTTTAAAAATACAAAACTCTTTAACTGGCACACGACCCAGATCAAGTCTGTAATTTGAAAACTGTTGTAAAATAACACTCGACTAGTTTGCACTTGTAACGGTTTTACCTTTTTTCGAGCTTGCTGCTCCTTAGAGGTGTGGTTCTTCACATGTTTCCGCAAGGAGCTAGGATCTGTGTAGCGCTTGGCACACCCCGGTACTTGACAGGCATATGGTTTCTGTAAGACGGTTACAACTCCAATTAACACTTCGTCTACGAACGTTTTTTCGAAACTACTTGTCAATGGCAGCCAGCTTTCGCCACTTTCCTTGAGCAGTGTCTGCTTTAGCAGAAAAATGTAAGAATTTTTTTTTTAATCTGCACGTCGTTACATATCGTTATATGGTGTCAGAGTAATCTGGGGCTGTTCTAATTGTTCACGTTTCACCACATTTTGATGACCAAAACAAGAAATTCTTATATCCAAAAATACAAATGCTGCAAGGTTTACCGTCGGGAAGATGGTTTCTCATTAGAGTTGATATGATGTGTTGGTATTCTCGAAGAAATATTCGCTAAAAATTATATTAACTAGACAAATTAGACTAAGCGACGTGCACCTACCGTATCTAAGTGTGTTCGCTGATGTTTTGCCCTGTCTGAAGAGTTGGAGAAGGCTTTTGGGCACCCCGGATGCTGGCAGATATATGGCTTCTCTCCAGTGTGAGACCGTAGGTGGATTTTCAGGTTTTCCAGCCGAGAAAATGCTTTGCTGCAGCCTTCAAACTACAAAAATGTAAAAGCATTTGTTGAGATCTCAGAAACATAAAACAGAGAGTGCGAATTGGGAGAAACAAACACTGCTACTCGACAAATTACTACCAATAAATAAGATTATTCACGAAGAAAGGCCAGCATAACAGCATCTGTTCTTTTATGGCACATCCTATGGAATAAATCTACCATGGATAAAAGCCAGTGTGCCATAAGAGAGTGCATTACACCATTATAAAGTTGTTGTGCTGTAGCTCTGAGAAAGGCCATTCTTATATGATGCAGGTAATTTACCTATGACTAAATATCTGTTTTTTTGTTATCTAAATTTAACAAGAGGGGGTCATCAGGAAAGCTATCTTATTAATTATTTTGAGCAAAACTTGAGAATAATAGCAGCTTATTCGATTGCCGATGAATGATTACAAACATCCCTGCATGTGATGTGATCAATTACAGAATTAGTTGCATTCGATGTTGATTAAGTGTATAAATTAAACAGTTGTATTAGGTGTGATTGATTGCAGAAATAGCTAAATTAAAATCAGAGATAAACATACGATAGCGAGATCCCTCCATCTTCTCCACCACCCCTTTCTCCCTCTCGCGCGATCTCTCTCTCTCTCCCTCCCTCCCTTCCCTCCCTCTCTTCCTTCTCTCCTCTCGCGCTCTCTCTCTCTCTCCTTCTCGTCCCTCTCCAATCATATTCTGCGAATGAATCATGACTTGCATCACAGGCACTTGAAGCGTTTCAATAAAATATAATGCTAAATAAATACGAAATCTATTTACTACCAAAGGCAAAGTCTTATTCTTAATGTTTCTATACTCTCTTTCACCTATTATTGCCGACAATTTTCTCTAAATGCCGTCCAAATGCTCATCTGCAACAAACACTGGCTGCCGCCATTGCTGCTGCCGCTGCACACTGACACATAAATATATAGTGTATTTTATGTAAATATAGTAAACTATATAATTTATGTGTCAGTGTGCAGCGGCAGCAATGGCAGCAGCCAGTGTTTGTTGTAGAAGAGCATTTGGACGGCATTTACAGGAAATTGTCGGCAATAATAGGTAAAAGAGAGTATAGAAACATTAAGAATAAGACTTTGCCTTTGGTAGTAAATAGATTTCGTATTTATTTAGCATTCTATTTTATTGAAACGCTCCAAGTGCCTGTGACTTGCATCGCCAACATTTTCTTATTTTCTCGTGGCGTCGCTCGCGCGCACACGGGGACCTCAAACTCCACGAAAGCTCAGCATCGTCTAGTCGTTTTTATTTGATGGCGGCAGCCATGCAGCTGAGTAAACTTTTGAACTCTACTTTTTCGCCGTCGAGTTATTATTTTACCGAGCGGTCACGTGTGCAAGTGCAAAACACGATATCGGAACATGTGGCACGCCAACCGATCTATCCGAATCCCAACCCCGCTCTCAGTGAATTGAAACGCTTTACTACGCGCACGCACGCCCCCCTCTCTCTCACTCTCTCTTTCGCTTTCTCTTTCAAGGCTACTCCGTGCGTGCACGCACGCGCGCGCACCCCGCCGGTAGCTGCATGGGAATTAACATCAATCTGTTTTCATAGTTTAATTTATGGAAAACGTTAGGTGGCGCGCACATGTGCGCATTGTTGACTGTCACTCGACCGGGCTCATGTGCACCTCGGGCTTAACTAGCGAGAGAGAGAGAAAAAAGAGATCGACTGGGTCTGGCACTATTTTAATGTCTTGAAACCCTATCTTTTACGGCAGTTCGTATGCTAATCCCTGCGCGCTCATATGTTGGTCAGCCTGCTATGAAGGAGTTTGCCTGCAATCATTTCTCGCATTATAACAGTGACACGCACCAGCTATGACTTCACAAAAATCATTGCGAGAATATGAATCAAAATTATGTGATGATCGCCGTCATACGAGTGTAAAATAACGGCAAAATAATACAATGTATATATTATATTATCGGAAGCACACGAATAGAATACTATTCACGTATGTACTCCTAAAAGGATCTCTTGTTCTTACCCCTTTTATACTGGGGGTTATCCCGCTTCAGGTCCGGACCTGAAGCGGGATAACCCCCAGTATAAAAGGTCGAAAAATACTTAGCCCGAGCTAAAGTTATTCCGCTCTAGAAGGTGGTTCAGGTCCGCTTCAGACCCGAGCTAACGTCAGTATAAAAGGTATCTCGACTTTAGCTCGCTCTAAATACAGTGACCATGACAATTACGCCGGTCTCGCACGCGACTCGGGTGGTCGAGAACAGCAGTATAAAACGACTTATCCCGCTTCAGAAGCGGGCTAAAGTCGTGCGCAGTATAAAAGGGGTATTGTGGCAAAGTTAACTGTGTGCGTGCGTGCGTGCGTGCGCGTGTATGGGCGTGTGCATGTATATAATTACTCAGTAACTATCTATATACATTTCCTACACAGGGGAATTGTCACGGCTCAGATCGAAAGAAGATATCGTAACTCAGCTACGATATTTGCGTGTAGGGATTAGGACATCAACACCGCGGATCTGTTCCTGTTCACATCTCTGGTCAATTTAGACAGATGCAAGGGCTGGTAATGCAGGAGCAACAATATCAACCTATCAAGAGCTAATAATACCTAATAATAAATTTAACCGATGTAGAATAAGGTATTTTATAGTCGAAGCTCTGTGGTCTTAATACATCGAACTGCAATCATGATTCTCGTGAGATTTCTGTGGGGAAATCCTAATACCACCCTCTGTTTTCTAGCCAACAGTTCTTGGACCAACGCGCTCATTGGAAGCTATAGATATCAATGAAAACAACCACGAATAAGGCAAGGCCTCTCTGTCTGGGTATGATCACAGAGATAGCAATTTAAAACCCAGTCAAATTTCAGGACACATTAAGTTTTTGCAGATGGTGAATGGAATTACTTTATGCAAAACCTGGTAAATACAGCTCGGCTGCCCTTGTTAAATAACTTTTTATCTCAGTTTTTAGGTATAATAAATAGGAGACACGCACAGGACTCAAGAATTATAGGGATTTGTAGGGGGAAGCAGCTTGCATATACGCATGTATGGATGCACTTACATGCTAGTAATGAAATTTCACGTACATGCATTCATCACATATCAACGGGAATAGGCTATGCTTCTATTACGTGCTACTGATAATAATTGTACTGACTATTGTACCGTTAATTCATTATTATTTTGGTTCATGCCCAGTTGACCGAAGGCCCGCAAGACCGAAAAATCGCAAATCGTAATCCATACACGGCTCTGACCGATTCCAGTCTCAGAAAGGAGGTTTAAACCATGGGTAAGGTTTAAACTTCCGTAAGCGTACTAAAATAAGCGTAAATAAGCGCACGTTGCCCATGCATTATTAATGATTATTAATTGATTATTAATAATTAATTACCATCAATAAGAACTACTTCAATTTAAATTCAATGGATTATACTAAGGAGGCACAGCCCTGGTCACTGGACAGGAAAGCGGAGGGAGAGTTGGGTCTGCATATTATATAGCCTGTATTATTATTGTACACGCGCGCACGCTCGTGGATCGTGAAATAAACAGTAGGCCTACCTGAACTACTTTCCTAAAACTTTTAGCATAGGTACCAATCTAAATTCGCGCTTTATCATGATTAAAAACCATTACCCTAACCCTGACCCTAACCCTAACCCTTTTTGTAAAGCGCATAGAGACTTCTGTTAGTATAATGGTCTATATAAGAATCTAATTATCATTATTATTTATACATGTAGTAGGGGCAGCGGAACGTGGTTCGGTCTCGTGGGCCTTCGGTCTCGCGGGCCTTCGGTCAAGTGGGCAGACCCCATTATTTTAACTAGTCCATGCCCGTTAGGTGATCAGAACTTCTGTGTACACCACATTGTTCATGATGGAACGTTTAGTTGTGTCCTTGGCGTCTACAGCTAGAATCTTTAGCTGCAGGGCACTTCCCACGCGGCTAGCAGTCTGCCGTCTGGAAACTTTGACTTATGTTATAACGAAATGCGCTCCATTTAAAAACAATATAAAAACAATGTATGTATAACATTTCTCTGGTTAGATTAGATGGAGCGACTTAGAAAATCTTAGATGGAGCGCCTTTGGTTATACATTGTTGTTTACATTGCCATTGTGTTTTCGTGTTGTGACGTTGCCCCGCACTCGGTGCAAAAATTTCCCACTTTTTTAATGTTTTTGAACGTGGAATGTGAAAAAAATAAAACTGTGAAAAATAAATAGCCCATGCGACGTGCCATGATCTGTAGAATGTTCCGACCAAGTTTGGAGAGGATCCGTTGAGCGGTGCGGAAACGTATAGCCGGACACACACACAGACAGAAATTCCCCAATTTATAGTAAGATACATTATACTTCGTTTATGTACATGCCTGATAACTAAGAAAAATGACACCGCTCCTACGCATAACATAGCGCACACTAAATTTATCTTGCACGTGTCAGCCATTTGCGGAAGCCAGCCAGATAAATAGCAAGGCACTAATTAGCATGTAGAGATAACGGCACCAGTAATTGCAACCTATGGGCTTCAGCGCTGGTCCCAGCAGATGGATAGCGCTTGGTTACTTGTATGGTCTTCATTGCATTACATAACGTCAGGAGTAAGATAATATAGGATAATATAGGATAATATAGAATAATATATCCTATATTATCTTACTCCTGATAACGTTACAATGGTACAAGTCTAAGCATTTAACGCTTCCCTACACAAGGGTAGTGTGTAACCAGATATAATATCTCTATATATATAATTATTATATATATATTATATCTGGGTACACACTACGCTTGTACGTATATTATATATATATATATATATATACGTACAATTTAATAGCATTTTGTGTACCCTTTGCAAACCCTTGTATTGCACATTTCGTGTACCCTTTATGCGAGGGTACCTAACGTGAAGTTTCTAGTAACTGTGGACACGTCTATATTTCTGTCATTCTCCGATTGATCTATTTAATTGATCATGTAACACAAGGCACACACGGGTGAAAATCGTAACAGTGACACCTGTGTCGCGATGGGCATTCGACACTGAGTGCGGAAAGGTGAAATAAATGGCTAAACATTATGCGTATTTACCTCCCGCGCACTAAGCTAACTGCCCCCCCCCCGGAACCCTTCCCCTTAAGCTAACTGCCCCCCCCCGGAACCCTTCCCCTTAAGCTAACTGCCCCCCGGAACGCTTCCCCTTAAGTACATCAGCCGCTACACGCATAGACATTCGTTAGCTCAGTTTGTCTACTAGCCAGACAATGGCTCCTTCGCAACATTTATTTCGCAGCCTTTAGCTTCTGCTCCTATCGACAAGTCGAATGAATGGAAAAACACTAGACAGCTTTTTTAGCGTGCTGGCAGGCGGGAAGGGCCGGCCGATAACCCAGTTCCACACTGTACGTGTTTACCAGCGTAGTACACCCGCACAGCTCATAATACAGACTCTCCCTGCGAGCTCCAAGCATCCTCGCAAGTTCTCGCTCGCAGTTAACGAAGAATCGCCGGGAAGAAAGTGGCGCAAAAAGCCGCGCAATGTACACTAGCCACAATAGAAGCAGTCTGCGTCGACAGTGAGAATAATGGGGCTGATATTAATGGAGGTGTTAATCGAGATATTAATCCAGATATTAATGGAGGTGTTAATAGTGGTGTTAATACACGTGTTAATAGAATTTTAATGGAGGTGTTAAAGGAGTTGTAATGGGATTGTTAATGGAGGTATTAGTACAGGTGTTAGTGGAGGTGTTAATTAATCAAGATATTAATGGAGGTGTTAAACAAGATATTAATGGAGGTGTTAAACAAGATATTAATGGAGGTGTTAATAGTGGTGTAACTGGTGTTAATACATGTGTTAATAGAATTTTAATGGAGGTGTTAATGGAGTTGTTAATGGGATTTTAATTGATGGATAAGTTGTTAATGGAATCGCAACGGAGGTGTTCTGAGCGTTCGTAATTTAATTTTAATATAGGTGTTAATCGAGGCCTAATTGGTGTCTCAATATCGGTCTCAATTCAGGTAGGTGGCAGTGTGAACAAACCTACCGTGCATTTGTTTGGTTTCTCGCCCGAATGCACCCTCATGTGGATGAGCAGCTTATATCTGGCATTGAAGGCCTTGTATCGGCGTGAGCAGCTCTGCCAGAAACACGTGAAGTCCTCACCCTTCCTCTGGTCTATGTGAGCCTAGGCAAACAGACACAGTGACACACGTACACCTCATGAACTGTCACTTGTGGTCCACGCAACTAACACTACTACACACGACTGTGTTTACAGTTATGCTGCTCTTGGTCATGCTCAGCAGTTCATATGATCTGTGACACAATGTACAGACATAGCCAGTGCTGACATCAGGAGTTTACAATAAGGTAATCATAGTGTAAGCAGTAGGTGATAGTAGAACCATTATTATTGATTCATTGCAATAAGAGGAACACATTAGAGTGTCTCCAGGAATTATTGAGGGATCTTCCGAATCCGAGTGGCAGCCAGGAACAGGTTTATGATAAAAATGACACTTACAATTACATTAGGAATATATGATAAATTCACTAAAGATTTCCTGATCACATCCAGAGCACGATAACAATATATATTTATATAGAGCAAGACAATCGAGAGTAAGACAACAAATAGGCGCGGCAACAACCGCTATTATCTTATGAAAAGATCATCAAACTCGCGACATTTCCGCGCCGCGGGATCAACGCTACCTTCTCGATGTGTCGCACTAGGTCCTCCTGCTCAGCGTAGATGGCGCTACAGTCGATCCACTTGCACAACAGCGGGCTGCTCTCCCCGCCGCACTCCTGCTCCTCCGTCTTCGTTACCACGGGGGCGCCACCGTAGCCGTCGAAGCTCGAGAAATCCTCGCGCTTGACGACGGACGCGGCGTAGTCGGCGGGGAAACCTCCCGCGCACGCGTCGCGCTGCGACACGCACACGAACGCGCCGCGGTAGGTGTCGCCGCCGCCCACGCGCCACTGCGTAACGTGCTCGCTGTAGGACGGCGGCGGCGCCTCGCCCGCCGGCGCCTCCTGGTGGTCGACCGGCTCCGTCTTGAAGCTCGGCAGCGGAAAAGCGGCGTCGGCAGCGTCGAATGACGGGAAGGTCGTCGCGTCGTCGCGCTGCCCCTGGCGCCGCCGCTGCTGCTGCCGCACAAAGCACGAATCACAGTTGTCCGGCAGCGAGTCTTCGTCGTCGTCGTCGTCATCGTCGTCGTCTTCCATGATCGTTGTTGTCGTCGTCGTCGTCGTCGCGGGGAGGCTCTGGCTGTAGAGATGTTGTTTCTGCGTCGCGGCGGCGGCGGCGGCGTGCTGCGGCGGTGCGAGGACGTTTAGTTTCCTCGCGATGTCCCGGCTCACAGCCTCCCGTCGGAAGATGCTCGGCTCGATGCGCGAGAGGTCGGAGAAATCCTCGTCGTCCGCCGTGCCGCCGCCGCCGCCGCCATCGTCGCTGCGCAGCGCCGACTCCACCTGGTGGTGGAACATCGTGTGCTCGCGCAGAAGCTCCATGTTGCTCGCCTGCTCGACGATGAGCTGGTTGCTTAGCAACGGATCATCGTCGTCGTCGTCGTCATCGTCGACGGGACCCTGGCGTGACTCCATCGCCGCGGCGACCGGCACCGTGTTCTCCTTGTCGTCGGCACTCGTCTCCATGGCGACGGGCGAGGCGCGGGGTGGCGTCAGCGGGAACGCCGGCGACTTGGCGGTGGGGCTGCGAGCGGCGGGGCTCCACGTACCCTTGCACAGGTGTCCGTACGAGCCCTGGTAGCTCGCGGCGGCCGCAGCGGCGACGCCGGCGCCCCCTACCCCGTCCTGCCCCGCCGCGCCACCGCCGCCGCGGACGCGTGGACGAGAGCGGCAAGGGAGTTTGGGGACGTGCGTATGAGCTGCGTGAGGTCGAGTCCCTCGGACGAGAGCGGCGACACGGAGAGCGCGCGCTTGCCATGACCTCTGACCCTCAGCAGCGGCGAGAGCGAGCCGGGCGAGAGCTCGGGGAGCGGCGACAGCGACATGCTGCTGCGGCCCTGCGACGACAGCGCAGCGCCCCCTGGCGGCGGCGGCGGCGCGAGGCCGCGGTCGCCGCACTCGCTCGGCAGCGTGATGCTCTCGCTCGGTGCGACGACGCTGCCCTCATCCTCCTCCTGCTCCTCCTCCCCCTCTAACCCGTTCACGCTGATCGAGGGCAGACTCGGGAAGTGTCCCCACCTGGGGACGGGAAACGGCTCGAGGAATCCCATGGGACGCGTCGGCTTCCCCGAGCCGCCGCCGCCGCCGCCGCGGGGAGAGCCGGACGTGCAGGAGGAAGGAAGCTGGATGCTGGAGACGTCGCTGGGGGTCGGTGAGTGCGGGGTCAGCTGCAGTCGCGCGGCGACGCCCGCCGGGAGGCGGCCCGCGCTGCTCGTCATCTTACGCTCGTCGTTGTCGGCGGAGGATGCTGTGATCATCGCTGCAAAGATGCAGAACGCGATCATTGATCAAATTATGATATACGTACATTATATAACAATTAACATGTTCAGTTATACCGCGATCATTGATCAAATTGACGATATACGTTAAGCAAATTTAACAAATTAATAAACAATTAAACCTGTTCAAGTTAACGCGATCATGATCAAAAACGATATACGTACATTATATAACAATTAACATGTTCAGTTAACGCGATCATTGATCAAATTACGATATACGTACATTATATAACAATTAACATGTTCAGTTACGCGATCATTGATCAAATTACGATATACGTACATTATGTAACATGTTCAGTTAACGCGATCATTGATCAAATTACGATATATGTGCATGTTATATAACATTTTCATTATAACATGTGCATACCTTCATTAACTAAATTAGTTCATTGAAGAATTACAGAATAACAGAAGTTTACTGTACAATTAAAACACACTATTTTCTCTAAATATTCAAACACGCGCACGTATACCAAACGTATTCAGACACGTCAATGATATGGCTTGGAGAAATCCAACGCTGAAGTATATAACTATAACTATAAGCTAGTACGCGCACAAGAATACACACAATTTGTGACTTAATAACAAATTCTTACACATATGGTAACGTATACCTAGATACAATAATGTAACCCAAACCCAAGAGGATAGGGGGGGTTACCCTATCCTCTTGGGTTTGGGTTACATTATTGTATCTAACGTATACCCAGCAACAGACTACTCAAGAGTAGGGTTACACTACTACTCTGTTGGGTCACATTATTGTATCTAGGGAACCGTACACCCAGTAACACGGAACGAGAACACCCAAAGGGTAAATGCAATGCCAATAATGAAAGCCAACCAAGTAGGGTTACATTACTCCTTCGTTGGGTCACTCTATTGTATCTAACGGTTTCCATGAACCCTTATAGCGAGATGCAACCCAACACAATAGCAGTTATGATACATTGTAATTTGTATCTCTACTCTTGTGTGGAGTAACATTATTGTATCTACCTTATAGCCAAGCGTATAATTATGTTAGTAGGACATCGTCAATATAACACCGTCACAGACTCGCGCGGCTCAACGCACGGCTTGATAAACCTGCTACACAATAGCTCCCTCCAACCGCTGAAATCCTCCGCTTGTACACCGTATAACGGCACCTTTCGCGTGTGCTCCGAATCACCGAATAGTCGAGTACTGGCGCACAGACAGAGAGACACCTCGCATTCCGACCCTCGGGTTCCAGGAAGTTGCGGGTTCCCGATTGTGTCTGCCGGGTTAACCACGGGAAGCGAATTAACATGGTCGTGTTGTGCAAAATCACATACCACGGCTGCTTGGAATAACTCGAATGCCTCGCACTAACCGATAGGGAGAGAACTGTCGAAGATTAACTGTAAACCAATGTTGCCATGTCAACTAAATACGAGCACGCTCCCGTGTAAACAAAATAAACTGTGTACGCTGCTCGTATTTGAGCTCCCGGTGGTGGCGTTGCGTGTATCGGGGTAGCTTTCAGTGATCCCGTGCGTGTGTAGGGTTAGATGTGCCATCGCGAAAAACAGGTGTCGAAAAACATTTCCGCTGATTCCATGAACAGGGTATTTTATATATATACAAATTAATAAATGCACGCTTACGAGCGAGCAGGCCAAACGTCAACGTATGAAAGACATAAACAGTTTCCCATAACCAGTTTACGTGTGAATCTATATATATTATATATACGCTGGCTTACATTATTGTATCTACCTGGGTAATTACATTATTGTATTTACGTACGTAAGTGCTACTTTTTACCGAGTACGTAGCGAAGAGAAACTGGTGAAGAGATTTTTAAAGCACACATTATATCGCATCACGCTCGTTAAGCCGCTAAAATTGCCGCGAAACTATGCATTTGCATTACGTTACGAAAAAAAAGCCACCTCATCCGTTATAAAGAGAGCGAGAGACGGTCCAACAACAAACACAGGCCTGCACAGTCCCCGCAGCACGGACATGTACCACTAGCATTCCAACAGAAGCTACTGCGACCCAGAAAGCGTGCCGAAATGCTTGCTGTTCGCGCGTATAAAACATCTCTTGCAAATAAAACAGAAATCGGTAATGCCATCGGCAAAACATTAGGACGGAGTGCCACGCGGCCTGTGATAGCATCGTGGAATGTCAGGAATCCTTTCATTGAAGCGAATATTCCAAGAATGCCCCCAGAGTCAACACAGAACCGAGCATCCTCTGAACACCTATAGAATCAGAATAAATTTTCGGCGCATAAATTTTGCCCGATTTAATTCATTTTCAAACAATTTCAAAAATTCCAAAATGCTCCAGACGTTTAATCGTGATTTATTTTTTATATTAGAAAGCCCGATAATATGTACCAAATGTTAGAAACTACATTTTGGCACGTAAAACCTGCCTACCTTAATTTGACATCACAACGTTTCTTCGTGATTTTTGCATTAGAATGCCTCTGTAATGTGAACCAAATGTTCAAAACTACCAAGAGATCAATGAAAAAACTTTGAATGACGTACGTAGGTGCATCTAACCGGATGAGAGCTATATGGACCTGTGATTCCGAAAACTCCAGCGACCCCATTGCACTCCGCGAACAATTTACTGGAACCGACGAACCGACTTCTTCTGCTAGCAAGAAAAACAACGTTATAAATCACTTACACCTCACTAGCGATGTACCATCAATCGTCGTATCAACAACGGATTTCCTATGAGCCGTCCTCACACACACAACCACCTGTCACACCTGTCGTCACAATCACAGTGTATCACACAGGTATAATTACCTTCATCGCATCGAACCATGTCAACAACAACGTGTGGGAAGAGGACGTCGAGAAAACACCTCTCCCTCCCTCTCCTTCTCTTTATCCTTCTCTACCTCCCTCTGTCTCCTTCTAAGCGATGATGTCTGCACGTTTGGAGGATATCAATGGAGGGAACGCCGCGCGATATGTTTTGCCGCTGAGCGAAACCAGAGAACGCATGCACCGTGAAGCATTGCTCTCTCCCTTCTCTCTCTCTCTCTCTCTCTCTCTCTCTCTCTCTCTCTCTCTCTCTCTCTCTCTCTC